TGGAAGCAGAATGTTGTATACATAATAAATAAATAAAATCTTTGAAAAAAAAAAAGAAAGTCATGTAGTACTGGTCACATCATGTAAACTGACACAGCCAGATGATACACCGTATTTTTGATGTGCTTACTGAACTGTTCTCATAACAAGAACACTATCTGCCATCCTCAGTATCCCATGGAAGTTAATGTGTAATGTGGTGATAATTAGTTGGCGGTTGAATTATGGGACAGACTGGCCATGCTTTACCAAAATGAAAACAGCCTGTTCATGACTCTTTTTGTGATCTCTACTACAATTGTTCAGTCTTCTTTCTACACTTGGTGCTTTGCATATGTATGACACATCATTTCTCTTGGAATCTTGTAGCATTAAATGTTTTCCCTGGAGCATTGCTGTCCCCTAACACCACAGGCTTCCGAGGCATCTCTATCTTTAAACAATGAGATGACTTTCATACAAAGAAAGCTGGAATACAGCCAGGTGTTGGTGGTGCACACCTTTAATCCCAGCACTCGGGAGGCAGAGGCAGGTGGATGTCTGTGAGTTCAAGGCCAGCCTGGTCTCCAGAGCAAGTGCCAGGATAGGCTCCAAAAAGCTACACAGAGAAACCCTGTCTTGAAAAATACAAACAAAACAAAACAAACAAGAAAGCTGGAACACAAAGAAGGGGTATGATTTATCTGGAAATGGCTATGTATGGCAGACATAAAATTAGGAAACCATTCTTGCATGTACCACAGAGGCTCCAGAGGCCCCATTCCCCTTTTGTCACCACAGTCTTCTCCCATAACCCTCAAAAGACCAGGATCTCAACATACAGCACCATGATTTCCTCCTTCCAATTCCCCCTCTCTGCTTTACTAGGCATGTGTTTACCAGGCTCTATTATGCAACACATTTTGGTAGAATTATTCTGTATATAGGGCTGGTGAGAGGGCTTACTGGGTAAGGCACTTCCATGTAATCCTAATCACCTGAAATTGAGTCCCAGAACCCACATAAAGGTAGTACATATGCATACTGTATTACAAAGCTCCATACACACACCTCAGGCACAACAATAACAAAATCATTAATAAAATTCTTTAAGAATTACTCTATCAAGCTTGTGAAGTGAGGGCTTTTTCCCTTTCACTGTGGAATGTAAAACCATTGGTGCTGACACAGAGCTACAATTCACTTACTTTGCTTTATCTATGACACCCATTTGTAAAATAAACCATAATTTCATGTATGCTACTACTGAAGGGAGCTTTTTTTTGTCTCTCCACACAATAGGAATGCATCTCCCAGTACTAAGTCTCTAGGCTGCATTCCTGGGCTTTGAATTCCAGGTAAGAGAAAATGGGCACCATTAACTTTACTAGAAATTGCTGGTCCACTTTCCAAAGCATTTGTATGAATCCCAATCCCACAGCAATGTTTGAGCACCCGTCTCTGTGCACAGCTTCACTTGCTGTGTATAGCGTGTGTCATCAACCCACATGGCTATATTTTCCTCCCATAAAGTCTTGGCTTCAGCCCTGATTCTCTCAGACTCCAGGGTTGACACTTCACCTCACCACACATTGAACCCTGTGCTGTCACCTACAGTAGCTCTCCAACAGTCATTTCCATCTACTAGCAGACTTATTCTAAAGTAGCTATCAAGGAACCACATGACAGCAGGGTTTCTTCACATTGCTACCCTTAGCTTACTGGGTAAGCTGGTTCTTCATCTTGAGTGTGGTTTTACTTTGTTTTGTTTTCAGCTTTTGCTTTTTATTTGGGTGTTTGTTTGTGGTATTTAGTTATGTGCTTGGCCTCTATCCACAGACAATTGTATCTAACTGACTTCAGTTCCCAAATCCCAAGTGTTCTTCAAGCATTCCTCAAAGCCGAAACCAATGCCCACCCACTAAGATCTACTGTGCTGGTGAATTTAGGTTAAAAGAGTTTTAACTAAGTCAGTAATTTCAGAGAAACCGAAACATTTAAGGCATGTTTTCCTACATACAAACTTGACACTTTGCAAGTGGCCATGTTCTTTAAAATTACATATTCATAGAAAACAAAGAGGAAGACAGTTTCCAGAGTCATCATTTTGTAGTACTGTTTTCGTCTGCTAGGTAATTTCTGTCCTAGAAACGAAATAGGTGGAAAAAGATGAAAGTCCATTAGATGGATTCTCACCATAGAGAGGCATTCAGAGAAATCAAATTGATGCTTGACACAGACTTCTGTCTCTATCGCATTTTCTTCTATTTTTCCTGACAAGTACAATCAAATCCCTGAGGCATGTTTAAAATGAACATGGAAATGCCCTTTCTGATGGGAGTCCAATCATGATCTAAGGAATGAAGAAGTGGTGCCACTATGGGATCCATGGCTTTCTTTAAAACACAATTTATTATTTTATGTGTGTTTGGGTGCCTGTTTGCATGCCTGCATGTGTGTCTATGCACTACTTGCATGCAGTATCCACAGAGACCAGAAGAGGGCATCAGATCACCTGGTTATGAGCCACCTTATATAGGCACTGAGAACCTGGATAGTCTGGAGACAATGCTCTTAGCTGTTAAGAAGCCTCTCAGACCCTCCATGGTTTTCTCTGTACCTAGTGGATATCAGGCAGGGCACTGAAGAAGCCAGCCTGTAACCATCAATAAGTGAAGAAGAAGAAGAAGAAGGTATCAAAATTTCTGCTTTTACTTTTTAGTGTAAGGGTTAGGAAAGAAGCACCTAGAAAAGAAGAAAACCTGAGCACATTGACTACTCCACTCCAGTCAATCCACCAATTAAATTTGTTCTCCCTGATGCTCTCACAAAACTGAATAAGACACCTGCATGTCCAACCTCCTGACACTGTATAAGGTCCCAGCACCCTTGACAGTGATGTCAGAAAACCGCAAGCAGAGTGCTGGGATGTTCTATCCTGCTTGGTAGTTATGTACCTTCTCCATAGCTTCAGTACAGCTCAGTGGTGAGTCTGGATACCTGCTGCCACCAGGGTGTAATGAGACTCTCCTTGCTGGAGCTGTGTCAGAGGAGGTCTTCTGGAGAATTAAAACCACAGCCATTGTTCTGAGGTAACTTAACTTCCCTCTCCCCAGCTTCCATGGAGTCCAAGGCTCCTGTGGAGAGCACAGTGCCCAGGAGGCCTCTACAGGGAATGAGTGCCCCAGTAGGAACAAGAATCAGTTCAGTGTGAAAAATAGAATGGGAATTAACAGATAAGTAGCTCTTTGAAAAGATCAATCAAAGTGGCAGATTCTAGCAAGTCTGAGTGAGAGAAATCAGAAGACAGGGAACAACAACATCTGGGTTGACACAGGGTTTGTTACTGTAGATCATGACAATAGCGGCAAGATAATGTGGAAATACCATGAGTAGCTCCTACACACAGAAGTACACATCTCAGACTGAATTTCTCAAAAGTCTTACAACACATTCCATATACAGTAGACTATTGAATGGTACATAAGCATTGAGGAAATTGTATTTATTCATAATTTTAAAACTTTCAATAAAGACTTTTTTCTAGGTTCAGTTGGCTATATTGGAGAGTTTTAACCAGAATTTTAAAAAGAGTTAAGACCAATTCTACATACTCTTTGCAACCTGCACATAGCCTGCACCAGGAAAAGACACAGAAGTAGGATACAGACTATCAGGGAATTAGGTGATCAGCAGGGGTGGTAGAAGAATAAGAGGAGTAGCCGGGGCAAACATGAACACTATAAGTTGTGTGATGTATGTGATTGCCAGAGGTGAAAATGGAAAAAAAGAGACGGATCTCTTAAAAATATATATTCATATCCTATGAGATCACCGTGCTCTCAGTGCAGTCCTTGACATATAGAAAATTGATAAAAGTACTTTTAGTTAATGAATTATTGTAACAAAAATACAATTCATTTCCCAGAGACAAATCAAATAAATATTTGATGAATTAAAAAAAAACTAGAGGAGGAGAAAATACTTCCTAACTCTTCTCATAAAACTTGGTACCTAAACCAGGCAAAGACATAAATCAAGTGAAAGGAAAGGAGGGAAGAAAGAACAACTAAAGGAAAATGTCAGACTAACCCACCAGGAACACGGAACAAAAGCCTTTGAGAACATTTTAAAACTAATTCCACCAACATATTCAAAGAAGTATATGCACTATGGTCCAGAAGAAACCTCTTCCAGGAATCTGTGTCAGTTTGTTGATTAACTTTGAGCACCAGTGCACTCTACCACAGTAATGGATAAAGAAGAAAGAAATGTGATGATGTGAGTGGAAAAGAATAGATGACAAAATTCCACAACCTGTATAACAAAAACTCAGAAGAAATGACAATAAAATGAGCATCTTCAGTTTGGTAAAGAATACTGACACAAAATTTATACCTAACAGTACAAGGAAAAACTTGATACAAAGTAAGTTTAGCAGGGTTTATTGAGCAAGGAATTATTCATGAGCTGGGCAATGCTCACAATCTGATGAGGTTTAGACAGCTCCATCATAGGGCTTTTCTAGCTGGATGCCAGAGTGAAGAGAAAAGATGTTCCTTACCTGCCCAACTAGGCACCAATACTATCTTGAGTACAATCAGATGGAAAGTTCCTACTTAGACAACAGATTAGCTGAGCAGCTGCTTCTGATGTCTCTATTTGTTTTAAGTCAATTGACACATTTTACTTTAATTACAAAAGACTGCAGCAACAAAACCAACCTATGGGACTGCACTGTGAAGGAGGTTAAGGGCTTCCTCCTTGTGTCATTGATACATGTAATTCTATCCCAAGGTAGGAACAAAATAGCCATGCCATGCTCTCCACTTCTATTCCACAAAATGCTGGAAGTTCTGCTGAGGGCAATGAGGTAAGAAAAGGGAATAAAAGGCAAACTCGTCATAAATAAATAAAAAAAAACACAGATTTGTTCTTTTTACTAATGATAGTAATGTGTACAGGAAATCCCAGGAAGTCTAAAACCTTCTTACAGAAATAAGAGAGCTCAACCAGTAGCAAGAAACAAGATAAATATTTAATAATAAGGTATAGTTTCCTAATCAGTAATAGACACATAAATTCCAACATTACAAATATAAAGCCAAAGGCTTAGTAAATATTCAAAATTGGGGGGCTTACAAACTAAATTGGCTTAGTCTTTAATAAATATATTCCCTTGTAAGCATGGGACATACAATCCACAGAAACCACATAAAACAACTGGGTGCAGAGGTCATGTTTGTAATCCCAGTGCTGAGAAAGCAGAAACAGAGATCCCTGGGGCTTCCTAGCCAGCTACTATAGCCAAACCGGCATGCTACAGATTTGGTGAAAGACTCATCTCAAAAAATGAGGTGAGGAGTGAGTAAGTAAAAAAAGATATCAATATTGGCCTCTGGCTTCCAAATGCATTAATACCAAGAATGCACACATATGCCCCACACAGAGGTGAATACAGAAATTCACACACACATACACACACACACACACACACACACACACACACACACACTAAATTCTAGAACATAAATATTATTGAATGCCTTGGCTACTTTTCTATTGCAGTGATGAGATATCTCAATGATGACTAGTTTTATTTATCTTAAGTAAACCAAATCAGCTTTATTATCAACCAATGAGATTAGTGCATATTCACAGTATACAGAAGGATTATCCTACAGCATTTCCCCTTTTCTGTCTAGTCAAAAAGGAAGGTTTTTTAACTTTAACATAATAAAATTATGTACAACAAAACAGCAAGTAAGAACTACAATTACAATATCAAGTCTATTTGTATTTGACAAAGTTAGAGAAAATCTAACTTATCTTGGTGAGTTTCAAGTTTTATATCTAATTTATCTTTTATCATAACTAAGAAAAACTATAACTTTAATTATCTAGATGACTGTTAAAAGAAAACATGTACTGGGGTCAGAGTTCCACAGGGTTACAGTCCAGGCTGGCAGGCACAGTTCTATTTTAAAGATTCATGATAGGCATTATGGCACATGCTTGTAGTTCTGGCATGGAGGAAGTGAAAAGCAAAGAAAGAATAGAAGGAAGATAGGGAGAGAAAAGGATGCTCGTATCTCAGTACTCCATACAACGAATTAACGATCCTGAGGCCGCCTCCATTACTGATATCAGGTGTTTTTCATTGAGAAATAACTTGGTTCAGAGTTCAAGATAACCCAAAGAGCAGAATGGGTTTTACCTCAGCCCTGGCACAGCCCATCAGCATCCATGTTCAATGGCTGCCATGCTCAACCAATATATCCCTGGGGACAGACAGGTCCCCATAAATGTCATAAACAAAATAAGGGTACCGTATTTTTGATGCTATGTGAAGGTTTTTACACCACTTACAAGACAAATATACTTTGCTTTTGTTGCCTTACTTAAAGTGATGAATCTTATATCAATCTGATGAAATGCAATTATGGAATTAAGTCTATTCATTATTTTCCCCCCACTGGACATTTTTTTTTATCTAAACCACCTAGCATTTCATGTTCTGAGAAGTGACTTAATACAAGAATATTTACTTTTCCTATTAAATAAATAAATAAATGGAATCAAACCTTATAATTATTGTGATCATTTGATCTCACAATCTTCAATTTTCATCGTTTTCAAAGGAAATGCAGTTGCCTCTCCATCACACTCTTAGCTACTTCTGGTTCTTAATAATTCCTCATCTATAGCAGGAAGTCCCTGACCCTCTTAAGATATCCGTGGCCAGTGATTAATCCAAGCAAATGCAAGCCGTTGTTTCAATCCCTCCTTTCCAGACATGAGCCACTAATTCTTGCCATGAAGAACAAAAAGAAAAGCAGACTACAGCATCCTTCAGCCCACCTCATAAAGATCCCTCCCAGATACAGAAAGAAACTGAATTATGCCCTTAATAGCAATCACCTAAAATCGCCTGCAGTTTGTCCATCACTGTCAGGCCCTGGGTTGAAGAGCAGGTGCAGGGCAGGCTGAGCTCAGAGCAGGCTGGCAACACCTGGGCTGGCAGTGCGACAACGAACTATGGTGCATTAGCGCCTCCTGGTGCTGCTGCCTAGAAGCGCAGCCGCAAAATTCTCACCTCTTAGGCATGCAAAGTGCACCGATCTCGCCTTTGCAAAAGTTTTTTGTTGCTGCAAACAAACAAACACTCTCATTACACAAAAGCCCGTTATTTTTCTCCGGAAGAACCTAAAAATCTCAATAAACGCTTTTGAAACTCTAACTCATTTTATGTCTAGTCGATATCCTTAGCATATCCCCGAGGAAAGGATTTTAAACGTGGTATATAAAAAGCTTTACTAATGCAGACCTGTGAATAAATGCAGAAATCCCGTCCAATTTATAGAGGATTATGTCACGTTTTGGTTTTGTTATAAACATCAACCCCCACACACAATGAAGAGCTTGAAGTGACTATAACTGCTTCGTTCCATTTTAAATGATTTCTTTGCATAGACAAACTCAAATTCCACAGATAACAAATAGTCTCAGAAAAAAATCAGCTTTAAAAATAAAACACTGAAATAAAAAACAAACTGAAAAGAGCTTAGTTTGTCTTTCCAGAGAGTCACTAAGTGCCTGTGTGGTGCTTTATATACCGTGGGAAAACACCAGGAGAAATTACTTAAATCAAGGTACTGCTGGGCCAAACCAGGCTGGACTCACACAGACAGACATGAGGATCCACCTGGAGAGGAAGTCTTTCCAGTGAGAGAAGTCATAGCCTCATTAGGGTCCTAGAAATCCACCATTAGTCCACCAACCATTTTTCCTTAGCACCATTCGTGCTGTCGAAATTAAAGGGACATGTTTGCAAATTACAAGCAAGTCAATTTCTTCTGGAAGACATTTTAAAGCATTTTAAATGTTCTGTAATGTAAAAATGGCCCAGGCCAGCATCTCACAGGAAAAACAAAAGTAAAAATAAAACAAACAAACAAAACTAAACTAAAAAGCTTTAAGGCTAGCTGTTTTGTCTACAAGTGGGTCATTAACAAGTTTCAGAACTATGGGGGCTATGTTAATATCTATAGGCTTTATTCCCCATTTTACAAATGTGATGGGTTCTTATCCACATGTAAAATAGCTGTGATAAGATCTCACACTGTGCTAAGGAAGATCTCCCTTAATTACCTTTAATAGGAACTCCATGCGTGTGCTGGGGACTGGTGCTTGGGTGAACACAGGCAGTGTTGGTGACAGACCCAGGGCCCCCTCCATGCAAGTTCTTTCGTGTGCAGTTTAAATTTAATTGGCTTTTAAAAGGCTTTAAATTCGATTTAAAGCCTTTCAAAAGCTTGTATGATAACTTGGAAAGACACAGACAAGAGGGTTACCATGACTGCCAGGCCAGCTAGCTTGCATGGTACACTGCATGCCAGCCTGGACTGTAAAGGGAGACCCTGACTCAAAACAACAAAGGCTAAAAAGCAAACGTTTCTTCGTGTGAATCTTAAAATTCCACAGACGATTTTAGCTTTTAACCAAGTAACAGTCAAAGAAATGATTACCATATCTGTACTTAGAATAACATGAGGCCTAGCGACCATGAAGAGGCGACTGTGTCGTGTTAGTAAAATAGTTGCACTTTAATTCATACGTGCCTCCAAGATGGCACCTGAACACATAGGCTGCAGCAGGAGGGGGGATCGCTGCACGGGATTATCCTGTGCTTGCCCATACAGCATGCGCATGCGCCCACGCACACACAGGCACACATGCATGCACGGGTGCGCGCGCGTGTTCATACTCTTCTTTCTTTGTCACTGGTTCCATACCTGGCAGTCTTGTGCTAGCAGGATACTAGAGTCCTCTTTCTGAGTCAAGCGGTCCCAGAGTGTGTACCCAAGCTTGCCCTGAGAGAGCTGTAGTGCCCATTCCTCTCCAACATCCATCCACAGCTGATTCAGCCATGGGGAGCTCTTCTGTCTCATCTTTTGATTTTGCCTTGCTGTGAGACTAAGAGAACAAAGTAAGATTGGAAGAGCTGTTAACATGACATAATTCAAAATGCTGTGTAGTCGTCTGGTTCTACAGCACATCTGGAAGTATATTAACACAGGAAGCAAATTTGCTTGGGCTGACTTGGTCCACTCAAGGTAAACCTCTGATTCTTCTTAACCAAATCACAGGCCACTGGGCAAAGTCTCTGCAGGGTAGAAAGATTCTGCTCATGTCAGCAAGACTGTGTTGTTTAGAGCAGTGGTTCTCAAGCTTCTTCCTGCTGTGACCCTTAAATACAGTTCCTCATGCTGTGTGACCCCCAACCATAAAATTATTTCATTGCTACCTCATAACTGTAATTTTGCTACTTTTTTAAATGAATCATAATGTAAATATTTTATATGATACCCTCAGAAGGGTCACAATCCAGAGGTTGCGGATCACTGATTTACAGACAGAATCCACTCTTCCTATACCAATTCCTCGTCCATCTACTTCCAATTATATCGTAAGCAAGGTTACGATTTTACTGTTTTCTTAATATTTTACTTTTCTAGTGTTCGGTGATAATCTTTGGCCTTTGTCCCATTAAGCTTAAATTCATACATTTGGTGTTTTGTTTTTAGTTCGTGGTAGCATTTTTGGTTTTGTATAATATAACCTGGAAATCACAAAATGATCTGATAAATGAGATTGTAAAAATAAAAGCCAAGTGCACACGCTTAAACAGTTATGGTTTGATATTTATAAAATCATTAAAACTGTGTTACTAAACTGCCTGGTACTAAATATCTTTTTGCAGCAAAAGGAAAATATTGACTATTCCTTAGAGTTTTAAAATACTTTATTGCATAAATGTCTGTCATTAGACTCAACACTAATGCAATGAAACCAGCATGTGTTGTTGCATTTTCAACATATTTTGTTTTTGAGTCTAAAAGAATACAATATATAAAGAAGTTAGCTACTTGTATCTGAGGTTTCATTTTTTCTTTGAAGATTATTCTTTAGCTGTATTTAAAGTCACATTTTTATGACTTCTTAAAGTTTTCCTAAATAAGCTAAAGGTATCAATAAAATGTCATGGAAATTTCTGACATATTAAAAATAAGTTCTGTGCCCTAGAAGCACTTAGAAACTAGCATTCTCTCAATAAAGCTTGTAGAGGCCAATGAAGGATTTAAATTAATCCAATTGTATTTATTGTCTGAAAAAGCAATGCAGTCAGCTTGCATTTAAAAAATACTAAGTTTTTTCCAAAATAATTCTTCACAGACCTTGAAAGAACAAAACTCAAATTTATATGGGAAAACAAAACACCAGGATAGCCAAAACAACCCTGTACAATAAAGGAACTTCCAGAGGCACCACCAGTCCTGACTTCAAGCTCTATTATAGAGCTATAGTCCTGAAAACAGCTTGGTATTAGCACAAAAATAAACAGGTAGACCAATGGAATCAAATTGAAAACCCTGATAACCCACACACCTATGAACACCTGATTTTTGACAAAGAAGCTTAAATTATACAATGGAAAAAAAGAAAGCATCTTCAACAAATGGTGCTGGCATAACTGGATGCTGGAATGTAGAAGAATGCAGATAGATCCATATCTATCGCCATGCACAAATGGATCAAAGACCTCAACATAAATCCAGCCACAATGAATCTCTTAGAAGAGAAAGTGGGAAGTACCCTTGAACGAATTGGTACAGGAGACCACTTCCTGAACATAACACCAGTAGCACAGACACTGAGATCGACAATTAATAAATGGGACCTCCTGAAACTGAGAAGCTTCTGTAAGGCAAAGGACATAGTCACCAAGACAAAACAAAAAGATATTCACCAACCCCACATCTAACAGGGGCTGATCTCCAAATTTTACAAAGAACTCAAGAAGCTAGTCTCCAAAACAACAAATAATCCAATTAAAAAGTGGGGTACAGAACTAAATAGAGAGTTCTCAAACAAAATGTCTAAAATGGGTGATAGACACTTAAGAAAGTGTTCAACATCCTCAGCCATCAGGGAAATGCAAATCAAAACAACTCTGAGATACATCTTACTCCTGTCAGAATAGCTAGAATCAAAAACATCAACAGCAATTTATGCTGGAGAGGATGTGGAGAAAGGGGAACACTCCTCCACTGCTGGTGGAAGTGACAACTTGTACAGCCACTTTGGAAATCAGTATGGCGACTCCTCAATAAAATGGCAATCAATCTACCACAAGATCCAGCAATTCCACTCTTAGGCATATACCCAAAAGATGCACATTCATAAACCAGGACATCTGTTCAACTATGTTCATAGCAGCATTATTTGTAATAGCCAGAACCTGGAAGCAACCTAGATGCCCCTCAACTGAAGAATGGATAGAGAAAATGTGGTACATTTATAAAATGGAGTACTACTCAGTGGGAAAAAAAACAATGGAATCTTGAAATTTTCAGGAAAATGGATAGAACTAGAAGAAACCATTCTGAGTGAGATAACCCAGTCACAAAAAGACAAACATGGCATGTATGCACTCATATATGGATTTTAGACATAGAACAAAGAATTATCAGTCTACAATCCACACCGCCAGAGCAGCTGGGAAACAAGGAGGACCCTAAGAGAGAGAGATATGGTCCCCTGGAGAAGGGGAAAGGGACAAGGGCTCCTGAGCAATTTGAGAGCATGGTGGGGATGGGAGAGGGAGCTAGTAGAAAGAGAAAGGGAGAAGAGGAGGGGAGAGGAGGACATAAGAGAGCAGGAAGGTTGAATTGGGGGAAGAACAGAGGAGACCAAGATAGGAGATACCATAATAGAGGGATCCATTATGGGTTTAAAGAGAAATCTGGTACTAGGGAAATGTCCAGAGATCTACAAGGATGACACCAACTAACAATCTAAGCAATAGTGGAGAGGCTACCTTAAATGCCCTTCTCTGATAATGAGACTAATGACTACCTTATATGCCACCCTAGAGCCTTCATCCAGTAACTGATAGAAGCAGAAACAGACACCCACAGCTAAACACTGAACTGAACTCCTGGAATCCAGTTGCAGAGAGGGAGGAGTGATGAGCAAAGGGGTCAAGACCAGGCTGGTGAAATCCACAGAAATAGCTAAACTGAATAAGGTGGAGCTCATGGACCCCAAAAAACCAGCAAAGGACTGATCCAGAGCCCCCTGAACGTGGGTGTCAGTGAGGAGATAATCTATGGGGCCTCTGGTAGTAGATCAATATTTATCCATAGCATACAAATGGACTTTGGGAGCCCATTACACATTGAGTGATACTCTCTGAGCCTAGACACATGGGGAAGGATCTAGGCCCTGTTCCAAATGATATGACAGACTTTGAAGATCCCCCATGAAAGGCCTCACCCTCCCTGGGGAGCAGAAAGGGGATGGGATAGGGGGCTAGTGGGGGGCAAGGAAGGAGGGGAGGGAGAGGGAACTGGGATTGACGTGTAAGAAAAGCTTGTTTCTAATTTAAATAAAAAATAGAAAAATAAATAAAATAAAATTCATAATGACCTCTAAAAAACCAAAACAATTACAAATTACATTCAACTTCACACACACACACACACACACACACACACACACACACACACACACACACACACACACACACACACACATATTCAAGAATGGAGAGAACATATCACAAACCTCTTCAGGTATCCTCATACTTACTTACGGGTCTCTAAACTTCCCCAGCTGACGAAATGTTTAAATAATTTAATACTGCTTGACAATCACCCTTAAGTTACCCAACAAGCATAATTACACAATAATATTGCATGTCTCCTTCTTGCTCACTCCAGCATCTCATTTGTTGCTCTACATTAACGGTCATGCAGAATGTGCTTTTCTTTAATTAAAGCATCCACCAGGAATCCAGTCTCACGATGATATGACATCATAAAAAGGAACGAAACACTATCTAACATACAAATTGTGCACTACCTTGAAAAGCAAAGCCCATGGCTCCTAAAGCATGTCCAGTGTCCCTGAATCTCCCCCAAGTGTAAAATACTTCCACAGTGCCCTGGGAGTTTGTCCTGGTGCCTTGAGTTGTCCAAAACACACTTGGAAACCAGGGTTTAAAGATTCTTTAATCTTAGACCTGCTCAATAGTGTGGGACTAAAAGAAGTTGTTAGTCTCATAATTGATTATGTTTTCTTATAAGGAGTCATTTTATGAGCAATCGTTGCAGTTTCATCATCTAAGCATTAAAATTTATATTTGTAAATATTGTCTAGATACTATTTTTGGTGTCATTTTCTTATAAAAAGATATACTCAAAATCTCCATGTCCCAAATCTTCCACCTTCCTGTTTCTTTCTCTAGATCTTCACATTCCGAAGGAGGTTCCCAGGTACTGCTATACTGCCCCTCTTCCATCACTCTGGTCCCAGCTTTACACACCCATTCAGTGTGTTTTACTCTCTAGTGTTATGCTGACTGGGGCCTAAACAAAGGTTCATTTTCTTTCTCATCATTCTGAAGGCTACAGTTCAAGGTCAAGGAGTCTCCAAGGTTGGTTTCTGGTGAAGCCTTTTCCTGGTTTGCAGATGTCACTTTCTCACTATGCCCAGAGTCCAGGTGTTTATTTGCCTTCATGTAAGAGAATCAGCCTTGAGGCCCACTTTTCTGTTGCCCATCACTCAACATGATCCTATTTGAGGTCAGGGATTCACATATGAGCTTCAGTCTGTACCCATGCATGCAGGGACACTTGGTGAGAACAGGACTGTCTATTTTTCATTATGCTTACATTTTCCTTTCTAACAGTTAACATACCTCCTAGTTCGTTTATCTGTCCATTTATCATGTATTCCTCTGTGCCTTATTGATTGCAGTTCATATTTTATTGAGCCTAGTTGATATTTTTAGAAGGTAATTTGCAAATCATACTGCTGAAGCTTTGTCTAAGAAATGTCCATCTCTTTGAAAGGACTCTCAGAACCACTCACTTGGCTCTACCTCTGTTTCATGGTAACCCATTGACTAGCTTCTGGTGGAGAGACAACAATCAAGCAACCACCTTCAAAATTGCTTATGACAAAACTATGACTGGCCCATGGTTCCCTTCACCACACATCTTCAGGATCCTTTGCCCTGGGTTCTGGGACAGTCCTTTGCCATCTTTTGCTGAGTGTGATGAGGAACTGAGAAGTATTTCAGTGGTTTCCATTATTTTCCCATTATTATTTTTCATCTACTCCCGATCACTGAAGCTCATCCCCAAGAAATAGTCCATTTTCTCCCCAAAATATTATGTGTTAAAGAAAAAGAATTCCACCACTTCGGTGAATTTCCTGGGCCCATCCTTTTTCATCCACGAATTTCACATCTGGTGTAAAGTACTTACTATGACTACTGTCAACATTTACACCTTTGTCTTGCTCTTGTATATAAAAGTGTAGTGACTACAAAATCAACAAGTATCAGCTATGGGTGATTTTGGGGATCACAGAACCTGATGGTGTCCTCAAACTCACAAGCACTCGTGTCAATCAAATACACCATTATACAAGAAATTTTAAAAGAAAAAAAGATGAATATCCATCTGTCTCTGTGTTAAGGTACAACGTGTGAACTCATCCAGGAGTGGCAGTGCACAACTGTAACCCCAGCACTTGGGAGGTGGAAACAGGAAGATCAGGAATGCAGGGCTATCCTTAGCTATGTAGGAAGTCCAGCCTGGTCTGTTATTACAAATCAATTTATAAATACTCACAGTCTTCTCTTCTAACTTCAACAAGGGATTGTGTTTTGTTCCATTTTGACCTCTTTGCTACTCTGTATGCTCTTTGGAGGAACCTTTCTTGTGCTTTTGTGAAACAGTAAGAAAAGACATGGGGGAGAATATGAGATTCACCCAGGAGAAGAATGCAGAATCCCTCTAGGATGAAGCCAGATGAACCTTGGTGTTAGTATAGGTGATGGAAAAGGACACAAAGAATATTGGAAACAGTGCTGGGGACTAAGTGTTCCCTTTAATGCATTACTGTGAAATTGCTCTTGCTTTCCAGGACATTTTCCTTTCAACAGTGGGGTTGGGTCACCTAAGTCAATACTTTAAAATGTTGTACTTGATACTGGCAATGGGAGTAAAATGAGGATTTGAAGCCTACGGGTCAAACCCAGTTGGATTTCAGGCTAAAAGCACCACCCTCCACCTGAGCAGCAGGTGAATTCACCATGGTTACCTAAATTCTGAAGAGAGGAACAAAGAGAAAGCCTGGACCCAGCATAGGCAGGGAGGGGTTTTGGAATACTAGCAGAAAATAAGAGGGATATTGTGGAGACCATACTGAGATTGGAATTTCAATTTGAGGGAAATGCACGGCTTGGTACTGGATGTTCCAGGCAGAAAACCAGATCTGTGCAATGTTATGCTGGCTAACTGAACTGGGAAATTGTTTTGAATTTCCCAGTAAATACTAACCAGGAGCTCAGCTTTTAAGTAGACACCACATGTTTTACAAAGATGCCTTTTCCACCCAGGCCAACGCAAAGGCTCCACCTGACATAACTAGGCTCAATAAAATACACATACTCTTAAGGAAGCCAGTTTGGCTAGGGATTGCCCAATCTTAACCCCTTGACAAGAGCTAGTTAGAGTAAAACAAAATGGAAACATTCATATTAAACAGCTGCAGGATAAAGGATGTCAGCACCAGGTTAAAGCCCATCAAAGAAAAAATGAGTAGATGAAAAGTTATGAGTAATCAGATGGAAGTCTACTAAACACACTTAAAAAGTAACCATTCTCCTTAGAGTCACCCCTACAGCAAAAACTGTTTTGTCAGCTATGGAGTCAGCCATGGAAATGTGAACAACATAAACAAAATACTTGTAAATAAAATAATATTAGATTAAGATACAATTGTATTTCTCATGTAAGAGCACGCTCTAATATCAGGCAATGCAGACTGGTGGTGACTTTCCCTCTGTTTGAGTAAGCAGCATAGAAGAGGGTAGAAGGGAGCAGATCTTTCTTCTATCTCCCATTGGACTAGACCTTCATCAAAAAGCTCTGTCTGCAAAGAGAAGAAAGAAAAGCCAGAATTGTAATTTGCTGTTAGTACATTTTTACTCAGTTGCTGGAGCAAGAAAGATCACTTGAGTATAAACAGTAGGGGTGCTGTCTCAGGACTGTTGGAGTGGGATTATCCACTCTGAAGTAGCTATCAAATCACTCACAAATTAATAAGCAATCCTGTGTGATATCAGTTTCTCAACCTTAGAAGAGGCATATATAAATTAACAACTGAAGGTCTTTAAGCTCACTATTACCTCTATCTTGAAAATTACCTGTAAAATTGTCTCTGATGTTTGTTCTATTTGTTATCATTTCAATTGACAAATAGAAATTGCATAATGTTTGGTACACAAGCTACTTTACAGCATGCACAGCCTGTGGGATGGCTGAATCAAGGTGACCCACCTGTGTTATTTCATGTGCAATACACTGTGGTAAAGCATGCCCCTTGAGGTTTCCCCCTCATCCAGTCAGAATCCCATATTCCACAAAAGCCTTGGTAACAACCATTCTACCTTATGTCTCTCAGTTTGACATTGCTCATAGAAGAGGAAATGGGGTAGTTGTCTTTACATTTGATGTATTTCCCTTAACCTAGTGCCATCTGAATTCATTCACATTTTCACAAATTACCAGAATGTCATCCTTTTTATGACTGAACACCATTCTGTTGTGTCCACTGGCCACATTTCTTCACCCTTGGTTCCCTGGTGAACATTTGAGTTGATGCTGTGTGTCTCTGTGAGGGAAGCTGCAATGGAAACACAAGGGCATGTATCATTTTATTTCCTTTGATTATGCTACCACATGATCTGACATTTGCTTCGCTGGGGAAGTATTAAAAGGGAATTAAAGGGACACAGTTAATCGTATGTGTCCATCTGAGAGTATTATCTGTGCATATGAAGATTTAGCCATCAATATCCTTCTATGGTAGTACAAGAGCCTTCATGGTTCCCATTCCTCCTATAGAGTTTTCCTAGTACTGTTTTTAGTAATGCATGCCTTGTATTCTTAACTTCTAGCCAGTAAAAGTGGTATTATGTTTTTAGATATGTATTTATAGTCTTTTAAAATTCCTTGAAAATTCATTTCTGACTTTTTCTGTGTTATCTTGCCAAAACTGTGTCAACTTCATTTTTATTTAAAAGTCTTGCTTTCTCTTAGACTTTCAGGAAAAACTTTATCTCTTGCCATATATCATCCATTTTTAATAATTTTTGCCAAAAAAGCACTTACATTTATACATTTTCTCTAAATGCTGTGTGAGTAATACTCATAATTTTTGTGATTTTTTGTGTACACACACACACACACACACACACACACACACACACGTCTGTGTTATCTGTTAGATATATATCATATAACATATATATTATCTTGGTTAAAGTGTTTTATAAATTCTGAAATCACTTTTGGTTCATAATTAGTTGTCACCTGCAAAGCACATATTGTTAGAAATAATTTTGAGGAGTTCGAGAGACGGCTGACTGGCTAAAACCATTGACTGCTCTTACAGAGAATCCAAGTTTGGCTCCAGCACCCACATCAGGTGACACACAATCACCTGTAACTAAAGCACCAGGGTTCTAACACTCTTTCTGGTTTCCACAGTACCTGGGCTCATGTGCATGTTCATGAGTGTGCATGTGTGTGCGCGCGCACACACACACACACACACACACACACACCCGCACGCACGCACGCACGCACGCACGCACGCACGCACGCACACAATTATAAAACAGTGACAATAATAACTTTTGCTAATGATTTCTGAGTGTATCTCAGCTGTACAGACTTTTCCAGGGCTCCTCTGTCCTGCACAGTTCCCAAATAAGAGTCATGAATGCACCAGGGGACCCTTAGGACTTGCTGCAGGCTCCTGGCTTGGCTGTGTTCCCCACATCATATTAATACCAGAGCCCTCTCTCTTCAGCTAGATGTTGTTTATGAAGAGTTTCTCAAAGACTGCTCCTTCTCACCACACACTTGCTCTTTAGCTGAAGCAGCCTGCTCTTTCTGAGTGAGGAAAGAGGTCAGCACACAACAGAGTATAGAATTTCCACCTTTCAGCATGGTGTGGACGAACCAAGTCAGAAAATGCTCACACTCTGTGGGGGATGCATTAAAGGAGATGGTGCTGGCAAAGTGACCAAACCAAATGAATGCAATTATGCTGACAAATGGAAGAGGACAAAAATTGACAGACATTTTACTCATAGGGTAATAAATAGCAGAGAAGATTGAAAGGGAGGAGAAGGAAGCTGATTTTCTGTCTTCTAAAAAACTAGGAACATCTTAGCAGAGCAAGTCGTAGGATAAGAGTCATTTTTACCTTTGTAATGTTGGTTAAACCCTCAGTACAGGAAACAAGAGATAAGAACTCTGCATTCCAAATAAGAGTGAAACAGAAGCTGCCAGACATCTCTTCAGGGATTGCCTGGAATTGGACTGCTTGGATTTCCACTCATTTCTTATCAGCAGAACATAGGATTGATTGGGAATGAAGCTGTGATGGTACTTGGGATAGCTGGCAGGCATCTTCCAGATGAATGTAGGAGGTGCAGCAGTACTGTTCCCTTCTCCCACCCAGCTGCAAAGGAGACAGAGGCAGGGGTCCCCTTAGAGGTAAAATCCCCTGAAGTAGAGGTAGGTTACTGGCACTCTCCTTGTCACCTGAGATATTTTGCCTTCCATCAGAACACCATAACCAAATGGATAACAGTTCTTAGGAGATCTTAGTTGCAGGCCCTGGAATTTGGAAACATTGACCAAGAAGAAACAAACTCAGGACCCAAGTGAGGGAAGGTGGAAGTGAAAGCCAGAGAAAGGGAAGAACAAATGCTTCCTGGAACCTCCATGGTAGAGCCTGAGCTGGGAAGAGAGAGACATTTGCAAAAGACAGGAGACTGAACTTTTAAATCAAACTTGACTGGAATCCTCAATTGCCTGAAAGTGGGTGGGTCTCACTGGGATACTAAAGCCTAAGGAAGGAAGATGAGGTAATTACATGAGTGTATGTTGAACACAACAAAGAAATGTTTGTTACTCATACCCCTGTAATCTTAGTTGATTTAATAAAAAACAAAGCATGCAACTTAGATTTGCACAACTTAATATAAATATGAATTACTACAAGTAGATATATATTTAATAGATCTTCATATGTATCTCTGGCTTTATACTTTGACTATTAATAGGAATTTCACAAATTGGTTTCCTAACATTGTTCTACCCATCAGGACTACAAGGGATGTATTAGTGTTTGATATTGACACACTATTTTATAGTATTTGTCACTTTTCCATTAAGTTGTAACTATGTTGACTATAGTTTTTTAGGTTTTGATGTTCCATCTTAACTAAAGTTGTAAAAGTATTTTAATTTTTCATTATTTCTCTCATTTGCATTAAGACTATACTATTGCTTTTGTTATGATTTTGCAGCTCAACTTTATAGTAACAACTGGAAATGAACATTTTCTTTACTGTAAAATTTCTGCTAACTCACATGGGTTTTAACATCATGTTCTGGTCTTTTTTTTTTTCTTTACACACACGCTGAGTGATGCATGTTAATTACCTTCCATTACCTAGAAAAACAGATCCAGGGATAATAAGACAGTCTCCTCAGGTCTTTCACAAAAATTAATTGGTAGTCTCCTGTTTCTTAAGGAAAAATACTTTCATTAATTATCATCAGAATTGTTCAGTGAAGTAGCAATTAACCTTCATTTTTCACCTCTCTTATTAATCCCAAAGAAGGAGCCAGCAGCTAATTGCTGAAGCTCTAGCACCCTTGTATGCATCAAGGCGCCTCAACATCTCAGCACAGAGGCAAGCAAGTCATAGAGGAATTTAAGACTGAGCAGGTACGGGGGGTGGGAGGGTGGAGAAGGGGCAGCACAGGAAGAAAAAGATTTTTGTAAGTTGATGTTCAGAACACTTTGCTTCTTTTTTATTCCCTACCCTCGGCATTCACCATTTGAAACAAGCAACACATAGTGATTTCACAGTGAACACTCAAAATGGCCAGTTCAGGGAATTCAGACCTGACAGTAGTTAATATATTCCCTCTGATTCCTCTGTCCTAGGTCGGCCATTCCTGAAAAAAGCTCCCCTCTTCCAGAAGCAGCTGCTGCACTCTGTGTCCAACATTAGACTCATCCTGTCTTTTCCGAACTCTAACGCTGCAAAATACCAAGAATGTTCCCAAGTCATTTGGATGTGATCATTCAGTGGACATCCGTGGTAAAAGAATACTATGTTCTCCTTGCTGCAACTCAGAGCTCCCTTCCCTCAGGGCAGGGAGAGGGAGTGGTGAGACACCCACGGTTGAGATGTTTGTGACACGGGGTTGGCACTTAAGTGATGAGGGGAGCTGACAAGTCTATGGTAGATCATTGGCTCCATGTGTGAACAATAGAACAAGAGGACCAAGACAGCAAGCGGCAGAGGGGAATAGCATTTCAGAAGCCCTGGCAACTTTTAGTGGCATGGGACTGTACAGCTCATCAACACAGATGCAGAGAGTACCCCCAAGTAACATTGGCTGGGTTTCCTGTCTGAACCTTTTGCAGATCCTGGCAGAGTTTGCAAATCCCAGCACCTAGCCCTCTCCCTCACTGTACTCAAGAACAAGAGTGAAGGCTTTATGCCTAGTTTGTCTGTCTCTTACCTGAGGATTATGACACATGGGTAAAATGACACACCTGAAATACTAAAACGCCAAGTTTGAGCCCCAGGATATATTGATTGCATGTGAGCAGCAGATGTTTTAAATTTTTAAAAACAATGAAAACATTACTTACTCTATTATACTGTGACATATATCCTATTTAATATCTAAATAATGACCAGAAGTCAGATGCATCCACATCCTGAACCCAGGTCTCTTTCTGCATGCACTTTGAGCATCTTGGTTATTAAGACAGGACCCTTTCTCCTATGCGGCCCTCAGTAGGTAAAAATTACCAAGGAAGCTGATAATATTGTGAAAGTAAGAATAAATGAGACAATATTACATGGCTCATCTAGAGCCACAGTCTCCAACAATAATGTCCACTAGCAACCTATGCTGATCTTAAATTTAGATAAAGTCAAACAAAATAGGAAATTCTGTTCCTTGGTCACAGTCACCACTCTTGTGGCAATTGGCAGCAGGTGGCTGTCACCCTGGGTAGCTCTATATGTGAACACTACTATCTCAGCCACACACTGCTGACCCAGAGACAAGCTAAGGTTGCTTCAACATCACTTAGTTAATGTTCTCCATGTAGGGTCTTGAGTTTTCCCTTGATGAAAGATAAAGTTATTCTCAATTTTAGTCCATTATTTCCTTGGTGCGATGGCACCTATAAGTAGCACATAATACTCAGTTCCTATAACCAGTCCCTACTTTGTAAACATATTTTTCAAGGGACATGTGAACTCTTTGGGGAAAAAAGAAAGAAAAGAGAAGGTCATAATGTGGGAGGAAGTTGAGGAGGAGGAAACCTGATGGGCACATAATCCTCATTACACAATTGAAGAAGACACTGTAGAAAAAGAATAGAGGAGAAGATTCTCTTGCTAGAGCTCTTCTTGACAAAGCCCAAGTTTGTCAAACTACATTCCTTGGGAGAGTGCAAGCATTTTGCTAAACCGGAGGTGTTCCTCTCACTCCTTTGCAGGCACATTGAGGTGTCCAGAATCACAATCATTTTGAATAGAAGTCAGCAAAAGGAATGAGAAAGTCAATCAATAT